TTATGGGTTTAATCTGTCCCTTGTAAATATATATATATACACATGAAAAAAAAAAAAAAGGTGAGAGAGACATTTTTCTCTGACTCTACTCCCTCAATCCAAACACACTAGAAGGTACAGTTTTAATTTCTTCTCAATCATCTTGATTTCTTCTATTTTTGTGCATATGTTTTCTCTCAATTTGAGTTTGGCTTGAATAGGTGGATTATATGGTGGATTTGGGGCAAGGAGACGCCATCCCTCTGCGGCTTCTATTGGGAGATAGACAATCTCAGTCTCATTTTCTTGATGATCATGATTTAGAATTTGGGTTCCGGAAAACTTGAACTAGGTGATTGTTGATTACAAGAGAACATATTCTTTAGCTTCCATATATTTCTTCTTTTATCTGTTTTTTGAATTTCACCATTTTATCTTGCTTAATCATTTTCTCTATGTATATATATGTATGTTCCTTACCTATTAGTTATTTTCTTGATTCAAAGACCCGCCATTCTGGATTTTGGATCTCTCTGGCATCCAATAGCTTTGTTTATGGTCCCTTCTAATTTTTGTTTAAAGTGACTTGGTGTTCTTATTTACAAGACTTGAGATTGCATTGCTTAGACCCTTCACATATATATATATACTTATATATTACTACTTTGTTTGATGGTGGCTTGAACTTTTATTGTGTTCAATGTGACCACTTAGTGTTCCTCTAATGATAGCTGCAACTAGTGAAACCATATCATTTGCTTAATTACAAACCAATATTCATCATTTAAAAGCTCTTGCATTAGAAATTAGAAACCAACATTCATCATTTGATAAATATACCTCTAATCAATCAGCTTTATTGGACTTAGGAAGCCCATGTTGGACGTTTAACACTCTAAATGTTTGTAAATTGTTAAGCTTTAGGAATGTTTCTGATAAAACTGATCTAATGAAACTTTTTCTAAGATCATTTGATGAATATGCCTCAGCTTGGGCTTGTTGATCATTTGATGAATATGCCTCAAGTCAATTTGCTTTGTAAGATTATCAGGATGATTAGGAATCCCATGTTGGTTTGGAGGATTACAAAGCCTATGTTTGCAAATTGTAGAGTTTGTGGAATGTTCTTGGCAGAGCTGATCTAATGAAACTTTTTGGGACTTCAAAGTATTTCAAAAGTTTTAATTTCCCAAGTAAATGTGAATGTGAATGTGGCAGCTCTGCACTTTTTGTTTGAAATAATTTCAAAGATCACAGAAGCTTGAAATCAGACTTTAATGCTTGTGTAAACTTCAATATCTGAGAACAAAGGGTACAACCTTTTGGCAACATTTCTTGGGATGATTGGAAGCACTTTTCAAATAAACTTAACTCTCAAATGTTGAATATGGGAATTCTGATCTATACTACAGCCAGTCTCCCAAAGCATTGTTTCACCTTTGAAAGCATGCATCTTACAAGATTTAATATTTCCAATTTTATCTCTTAGAATAAGAAATTAGATAAAAAAACTCATAAAAGAACTTGTTACCAATCTCATCTATTATCATAGTGGTTTTATTAAATTTGTAAATAAACCCTTCTACCATCTAGAATTGAACTAAATCATTTATAATACCCTAATCTCACATTGAAAGAATAGTATGATTGTGAATAATATATAAGTGTGGAAATTAATTATTACTAATAACTTGAATTCAAGTTTAAAAGACGTTGATCTTAACCTCAAAAATTGTTAGTCTTTATTTTTGTAATTTGATATATTGATGAGACTATTTCATGGTCTATGCTTTGGTGAAAAAGATAAAAATAACCTCATCCTCCTGATATTACTTTTATCTCATATAGGACAATTAATATTTGTGAAGTTTTAATTTTCAAACTCATCCTCTTGCACAAATTTCATAACTTATTTTCTAAAATTGCTCAACTGGATTGAGTATAAAGACAAAAAGAATATGAAATGAACAGAGATTCTAGCCTTTTTATTTATATTAAGACGAGCAACGATATAATTGGGATAATTTAGGACAAGTGCTGAAGTACACTATCACAGAGATATTTGATGTAGGTTCTAAAACTGTCCGTATTAATTAGAAAGGACAAAACTAAACATAAAATGAACGATAACTTCTTTGTTTTTTTTTTTTTTATTATTGTTATTTTTTATTAACCTCTTGATATCCGATAACTACATTAGATTTTGATTAATCTGAAATTAAATCATGTCAGACCCTATTTGAGGGGAAATTCTTCCAGCACCTGTTTCTCCATTCACAAGACTCGAATTCAATATCTTACTTAAAGGAAATCGAGTTATCTCGAGTTTCTTCCACTCGAATCAACACGTCGTTGAATGTTTTCTCTTTATATTTTCCCTTATACCACACATTTCCTATTGTTAAAAAAAAATTCATAAATGAAATTTCAATATCAGTAAAAATCAATCATGCACGACTGGAAACAGACGTATAACTTGTTCTTCAATAGATATCATAGGAACTATTTTTGAAAAATCTACTAGATTAAATATCCAACAATTCACATCAAACAGCAAGGCTTATTGGGTTTGGTGGTGGTGGTGGTGGTGGGAGGTGGTTCAGGCTTGGTGGCGGCAGCGGCAGCCTCTGAGGATGGTGGTGGCAGCGCCGTAGCTTTACAGTTTGGCATTTCAATATCATTTTTTGTTAAGTCTATGAACGTATAATCTATCGTTACAATCTGTAAATGGGGTTGTAATTTATTTAACATAACTAGAAACTGCAGAAGAGCACCTCTGCCGGAAACACGAGCAATCCATTTTTGTGATTCCTCTGTATTGGAGTATATGGGCATAATGGTGTAATCCACATCTGAAGGTACCATTATCAAACAAGTTATAAATTTGGCATAAGAAAATAAATAAATAAATAGAATCAAGTTAAAAGTTCAAATAATTACAATATGAAAAATGATATATACATATTGCAAAGTTACACACTCCGTTATACATTAACAGTTTTTTTGTTACTTGTGCCGTTAAAATTGACAATTTTTGTTATTCAGGCTATTAAAATTAATAATTTTTATTATTTATATCGTTAAAATTGATAATTTTCATGTGTATGTATCATCATATATATATATAAATAAAAGAGAGAGGCAGCAGAAAAAAACCTTGGATAGTATTAAGCATTTTCGTAAATGCGGCAAAACCAGAATCATGCAGCTCCAATAAACAAGTCTTCAAAAGAAGTTAAAAAAAAAAAAACAAGAGAAAGAGGGAGAGTTAGAAAACAAAGATAAGATCAAGACAAAACATTACTACCTCCAATTAGATTTAGTTGTTTTAATTAAACTTTTATATAAAATTTAATTATGTAAAAAACGATGACAATTTGAAATTTTTTTTCTTCTTATATGTAAGATTTGTTAAGTAATTTTAATTAAATAAAAATTGTGATACTAATCTCTTAATATCTAAAAGTTATATTAATTTTCAACTAATTTGAAATCGAATTATATTAGATCCCGTAAGGATAAGCTCTTTGAGAGACTTGTTTTCTCATTCACAAAACTTGAATTAAAAACTTTATTTAAGAAAAACAGATTTCTTTCTGCTCGAATTAACATATTATTGATATTATCATTTATTAATTACATAAAACAATAAAATTAAATTTTATGTAAAAATCAAACTGAGACAACTAAATTTGGAGGAGTAAAAAAATTCAAAAGAAACACAAACAGAGAAGATGCATTTGGTGTGATTATTACATACCATGTCTCCCAACATTGTCTGAATTGAGCACTTCGGCCTGTGTGTGGAGAAAATATGCAAAACGGCGGACAGAGTGAAAAGTGAAAAGTCTTTTAGGGTTATAAATATTTTTAGACGGTACGTATTACAGTATGATTTGCAATAATTATTGCTCTTATATGCTGATTTAAAGGCCAGATGGCGGAGCCCGATTTGTCAAGGAAGATTGGTGAGTAAATTATTAAATTTCTCAATTTTGGCAATCAATTATTGTATTTGAGCTATTTTAAACTAGGGAAACATAATAGTAAGTTAGAATAGAATATAAATAAACCTAATTGGAAGCGCTAATTGAGAATTGGAGTAATTTGAGTTTTGAATCAATAATAATTTGTTAATTTGCAACGAAAAAAACTTAATTTCTTTTAAGTAAGATTTCGCATTCGAATTTTATAAATAAAGTTTTAAGTCTTTTAAATAAAAAAATAATTTCTAGAAGAACTTTCTTTTATGAAATTTAATGCACTTCGATTTCAGATTAATTGAAAGGTTAAAGTAATTTTTGGATATTTGAGGTTAATACTAAAAAAAAATTGATTTGAGTTTTGAGAACTTTTTCGAAAACATATTTATAACCCACTCTAAATTTTTTAGGAATTTTTCCAATAAATAAGTCTAGTCTAGCATATCATTTAATTTGAGATTTGAAATAACTAAACGAATTAGTACTTTAGGATTTTTTGAGTTTATAATGTGTATAAAAAGCAAACAAAATCTTTCCCAATTATAGTGAATTTGATAGTTAACTAGTATAATACTACATGCTAAATGGTTGCCTTTTGATTTGGTTAGTACCTAATTTCTTGCATGAAATCTTTTTATAGAATCGTAAGAAATATGTAATACATTATAATGAGTTAATTATGTTACTAATTGGTTATGATTTTGAACTGTTAATTATGTTACTAATTAATGTGCTAAATAATTGCCTTTTGATTTGTTAGGTACAATATTACTAATTTTCAAATTTAAGATTGATATGCCATTCACATTGAGTAAATTACAAAATGAAGAAATTCAAAGGAAAATTTTATTATTGGAAATACAAAAATATACTCCAACACATAACACAAAAATTAAAGTTTCAATAAAATGCAAATTAAGTCTCCATAACCATAGACAAAATAGATCAAAAAAACCCTATTTGTCTATGAAAATACATATACCTAAGAAGTCTAATTAGTATCTCCAGCCAGAAGTAATGGGCCAGTAGCCATAGGGTTCATAACATGGTGCCACAGAGCCATAGCTGCTGCTGCTGCAATAATAAGGATCATATAAGCTATTGCCTGGCGGCCAATAACCACCGCCATGATAAGGGTATCGATGATGATATTGATAGGTTTCATAGCCGGAAAAGCAAATCTTCTGGTTTCCTGTCTCAATCCAGGCCAGTGTAATGGTATTTTCTTTTAAATTCTCCAGCTTGGTCAGAATTGTGTTGGGATTCACTCTTCCTTCAACAATGGCAGTTCCTTTTTCAGCATCTATAATGTACTTTATACCTATATATATTATTTTTAAAAAACGTTAAGAAGAGAGGATTAAGTAGCTAGCATAGTTAATACATAGTAATTTTTCAAGACCTTAATTCATAAGAGTACCTTTGATTGATTTTAGAATTTGCTTTAAATCACTATACCAATTTGAGGATTGAATGTTCACATTCAAACCGCAACGCTACAAATTAAGACATGAAAAGTGTTAGTGTATGGAGAAATTAAGAAAAAAAAATGAATTAATAAGAAGAGCCAAAAAGAGTACATACCATGTTTTGACAAGGTTTAGAAAAATTGGAAAACAGACTATTCATTGTCTTTGCGGTGTAGAACAAAGAGAGTAGCTTTGTGTAATCAGTAATGAACAAAGTGAAGGGATGATAATGTATATTTATAGAGAGATTCCTAGGGTTTAATGGTAACAGAGTTAGAAGCTTGGTTTAAGGAGGGAAATCACTGGATTTAATTGGTCATTTTATTTGTGTCAAAACTTTTGGCTCGGATTGATTTCCATTTTTAAACACTAATTTGATATTGAAGATTTTCCCTTTTTCTTTTCTGTTACCAAAAAGAGAGCTAGACGAATTGATTTATGAAGAAATTAAGCCTTTGATTTCAAGATTTGATATGGGCGAATTAATTTGACATTTCTCAGGATTTGATATTGTCGAACTAATATTCGATAGTGAATTCTTGGGTTTGAACCCAGTTACAAACATTCCCCCACCCTCAATAATTCTCCTTTTCGAAAAAAAAAAAATCTGTTCAGTACCATTTGATTTTTTTTAAATAAACAATTTAAGAAGATGGCAATACCATATTTATAATACTATATATGATTATAATCAGGATATTGTATTAACTGAGTATGATTTAATATTAAATAAGTAAATGTATACAATATTTTGCGTAAATTCATAAATAAAAAAAATAAATTATACAATATATTCCGATTCAACACACTACATAACACATTTATTAAAAAATCATTATTTTTTAATCTGAAATTAAAAATAGATAAGTTTAATGATATAATTATGCACACAGGATCCAAGAACCGACTAAATTGACTGTATTTATATATGGGGCAGTGATAGGTTTACCCTATCCGTTACACACTTCGTTACACCATTTATTGTCCGTTACTTAATCGTCTCTCTCCGTTACTACTAGCATAGCCGTCTTGCTCTCTCTGCTCTCATTTCTCCCTCTCTTTGCTTTTGAGTTCAGTTCTCCATCTGTAGATCTGTTCCCTCCTCCTCCTTTCTTTTTTCTTCTTTCCCTCTCCTCCCCTCTTTTTCCTTCTCTTCCCCCCATGAGTTCTCTTGAAGAACCCAAATTTGGGTTCTCCAAGAGAACCCGTCAATTCTCGTGTTGAGAACCATGAGAACCCATGGGACAGAGGAGAGAGAAAAGAAAAAAGGAAGAAGGAAAGAGGAAGAAGGAGAACCCACGTTCTCAAGGAGAACCAAGATGGAGGAGAGAGAAAAAAAAAGAGGAAGAAGATAATAATGAATTTTTATAAATTTCAGATAGATTTTATTTTGCTTTTTTTTTTTAATTTCTTGTAAGTTGTTGGAAATGTCTTTTTGATTATTTGTGACACTTTTTTGGGTTGGATGTTTGCTTCTTACATAAATGGTAGCAAGATTAAGAAACCCAGCAGTTTCTAGAGTTGAAGAAGATGGAGAAGTTTAGCGCCTACCTGTGTAACGAAAATCGTTAGTATGCATAACGAAAACAGTGAGTGTGTAGTGAGGTGTGTGACGGGAAGGTGTGTATATCTTTATCCATTTATATTATATTTTTAATGACTAAACTAAGAATGTGTCAAAAAATGTGTTGAACCAAGAGTGTACCAATCATTTTTCATTAGACTATATAACACTTTTGTGTAATATTAGGCTATTAATGTTGTAAGAAGAATCCAAGGTTGAGATTTCTCTTCCTCTGTTAAATACTTATTTGTGATATTTTATTATTGACATAATTTCTTATAATTGATGGAATTTACCTCAATTAAATACTTATTCATTAAAAAAATAAAATACTTAAAAAACTAATGACTTACATGAAGAGAATAAATTACTTATTCATTTACTTGAAAAAGCCAATTACAGACCCATAGCTCTCATGGTATAAAAAATATATTTAGTTATATAAACATAGATGAATTACTCTTTGTTTTAGTAAATAATACAAGTTGAACTTCATTCAAAAAGTTAGGATGTGATTAGGTTTTTTAATAGTTTATTTGAAAATATATGAAATAAATTTAAGAAATTAGTGTGTACTAGTTTTGATTCTAAAAAAAAATTAAAATTCCAATTTATATTTGGAAACTAAAAGTTCAATTTAAAATTTAGATATCTACTCTATTAAATATTGATACTTAGATTTAAACTGAATCATTTCATTTAATTTTTTTATACGATCATTTTATTTAATTAAAATTCAATTCAAAATTTAAAAATCTATCTTATTAAATATTGATATTTAGATTTAAAAATTAATTATATTAGAATATATAATCAATTTTTAAATCTATATATCAACATTTAATATGGTGAATTTCTAAATTTTGAATTGAGATTTCAATTTCTAAATATAGATTTGAACTCTAATTTTTTTTTTTAAATCAAGACTAATACATATTAACTCGAAATTGAGATTTTGTCATATTAAATATTGATATTTAAATTTAAAAAATCATTATATATTTTAATATATCAATATTTAATAAAATATTTTTTTAAATTTTAAATTAAGTTTTAACTAAATAAAATAAAATAATTTAAAATTTTAATTTTAATTTTTTTAAAAAATTGAAACTGAGATGCCCTTTTAACCGCATATATTTATAATCTTTTGGAATAGAATTGTCAAAAATTGATCGCGCTTGCAGCATTAGCAATGACCCTGCAGATCTCTTTGTCAAGGATTCAAATTGCAACTGCAGTATTTATTGTAACTATTTCCCCCATCTCACTGTTCATAAAAAAAATAGTCAAAAACAAAACATTTGCCCATAGAAATTGGATAATGACAGGAGACGATTTTATGAAACGAAAATGGAGTACGATAGTTGTGACAAAATCAAAGTGCAAGAAACAAAATAATTAATTTGACCTTATCATATTTATCGTTTTTCATTTTTGTCCCATAAAATCATTCCCTCTATCATTATCCAAAGAAATTATATCAAAATTAGGTTATAGCCGAGCAATTATCAACAAACCAAAACGATGGTCAAATTAACTATATTCATATATAGATGTGAAGAGAAACAATAAATGACAAGCATTTAACCAATTAAGTTTATAATTACAAGCATTTTTGCAAATCACAAAGAAACGGATCGAAATGCTACAAACCAAGTTAAACATTGCACCAATAGTTTTACATGATGCTGCACTCAGCAGGATCATCGGCAGAGTATTTGACATTCCGCGGTGGTGCTGGAGGTGGAGGAAGAGGAGGATGATGTGGAGGTGGTGCGTTATAGGAGGGATGATGGTTGTTGTTGTATTTTGGCAGCAACTCTGGAGGTGGAGGCAGATAATGTGGAGTTGGTGCAGCATAGGAGGGATGAGGTTGAGGTTGATTGTTTTGTAATCTAGTTTCAGGGGGATGGAATCCACAGTCGATCCGTTCGAGTAGAAGATGCTCACCTCCAACCTTATTTAGCACCTTCAGGATGCTTTTCGAATCAATTTTACCAGAAATCGTAGCAATACCATGCAGTGCATCCAGGGAAAAGTGGGTGACACATCCTGAGAAATTAACAAGGAAAAAAAAATGAATGAATCATCTTTTTGTTTGTCATGATATTTGTTGTAGAAAAATATAAATATGTATGAGAGTTTAACCTTCAAGCTTTTTGAGTACTTTCACCATCGAATTCAGCCATCCTGGATTCCCTGTGTCCACTAGCAATGTGCAAGTCTGCCGAACAGAAAATAAGAATAAAGTACTGAGAATAAGAACAAGAGAAAGATTGTAGGAGAGTAGCAGAAGAATAGAATAGAACCATGTTAGCGTTAGAGGAGGATCCGGCTTGCATGGAAAAAGGGTTGTCTTTTCTTCAAGAACAAGAAAGTTTTCTCTATGCTTAAATTGGAGGGGGGAAGGGGGGTTCTTCTTACTATTATATTTAGGGTTGTGCTATAGAAACAATTTTTTTATCTTACTTTTTTATACAACTTCTATATATCATTAAATGAGTTGATACATTTAATATTACAGATCCCATATAAATTTAAAAAATTAATTATTTTAACGACACTTTAGATTGTACAAAAAAGTAAGACAAAAAAGGTTGTTCCAATAGCATTTCCCTTGTATTTATATTTACAGAGCATATGAAATTATATATATTAGGCTTAATTTCTATATCAAATTTAAACTAGGAAATAATAATAACTAAAGGAAATTCATATATTTTTCATGAAATCTGAGTGGAGTTAGCTTTTTAATGAGAATATTATTATTCCTTGAAAAAAATAGAAGAAAAAAGGAAAAGAAACAAGCAATGAAATAAATGGAAAGTTTTCTTTTGATTTACTCCTATCAAATAATAAAAGGTGATTGAGTAGAAACCCCTGATTCTAGCTTCGTTTAAAACTCTAGACTTTTCCTTCAAATGGGGTACCAAAAATTCATTTGATGGGAAAAAGAAAAATGAAATCTCAACACCTACGTTAATATTTACAAAACCTCAATTCCTGCTTGTGGAGTTATGGGGATGACTTTCTCCATGCCATAGACTGAATTCATCTGAGTTGGTATCCATTCACTTAAAATTCTTGATTTCTGATGACGGTTAAATGTTTAAATTTTTGTATTGTCAAGCAACTAATTTTTCGATATACCCAAAAAAAAAAAAAAAGAAAAAAGAAGGAATTCATGATCTAATTAAGAAATGAAAAAGAAGATGACAGAAACCTTCAACTTCAGAATGTTATCTTGGGAACTGTCAGGTTGCCTATGTTCTTTTATCAAATGATCCTAATCCCTTTCATCCTCACAGCACGCTGCTAATGGATTGCAGGGACCTTTTGCGCACCATTCCCCAAGTTCAGCTGGAACATGTGATGAGGGAGAGCAACATTGTTGCTGATGCTCTTGCCAAAAAGGGAGCTATGGCCCCTCACGGTTTTCATATTTTGGTTGATTGTCCACCGGATGTGGACTTGTTACGTATGGCTGATCTTGTAGGGGTTTGCTACCCCAGACTGTAACTCTTTTGGCTCTAGTTATTTAATCTTCTCTTTACCCAAAAAAAAAAAAGATGACAGAAACAGAAACCATTTCATAAATTCTGCTTGCAACAAGCTTCAAAATCTCAAGAAGAAAAAAAAAATTTGTACACAACATCTTGACATCATCATTCTACAGAACTAGATATAACTTAAATTTAATATGATTGGTCTCCAAGATCATCAGTGAACAGTGGGGAACCTGCCCTTGTGGGGTTTCGTTAAGGACTTGCAGAAGGACGAGAAAGCAACTTTGAGTTCCTCTGGGATAGGGAGAGCGAGGGGCAATGCCAAGGGCTGAAACCCCTTGTAGCATGCAGCATTGCTTCCCACAGAAAATGAGTGTGCCAGAGCTGGCTGCTGCTTGTTTATCACTTCAATGATATACGAGAATGCTCCCAATGAGAGACAGCTCTGTAGAAGTGCCTGGGGAGCACCTGAATAACCATTCAAACGAGGTAAGATTCAAAACCCATTATTTTATTACTAACCATGCATTCATCCGGCTGCATCTTCTAAATTTATTTGCTTTATAAGTTTTAGTCACATTGACAGCTTGTCTGTGATCATTAGAATACTACCAGGCAATAATGCATCAAAAGATATAATGATTGAGGAGACTTTAAGTTTTTCCCTTTTCCTTTGGTGCTGGCAGAGAGAAACAAAGATCCAATATTTATTATTGAGAAGACTGATTGATTACCTGGAAAACTTATAGCAAGTCCAGTGCAACATCCAGCTACTCCAGCATTAATCACTGCAAAAGGATTTATTACAATATAAATAGTTCAAGCATTGAAAAAAACCACTGGTATTTTGGCTGACAATGTCATACCATCATCTTTTCCACGCAGCCTCTTCAAAAAGCAAACAACCAAACTGTGTACACCTGACAGAACTGCAAATGTCTAAAAGGGCAGATACAAAATTAAACATTAACATGTATAGCTTGTATTGGGTAAGATGGATGGGAAAAGGGAGAAAAAGGCAAAAAAAAACTTTAACATGTATAGCTCATATTGAGAGAAAGAAAAGCAAATGCATGCTGATGTAGTAAGAAAGTAGATATTTCCACCAATTCCATCAAGCTAATCAAATTTATACTTCTATTTCCCTTACCTTGGCACATGATCCTGACTCAACAAAGGATCCTTTAAAGCCCTTCTTATGATACAATCCCAAACCTGAGATAAGTTAATAAAAATGACATTTTTGCAAGGGAAGTTGTCACCTTAAAATGAAGCATAAGTAACTTGAAAAAAAAGGGGGGAACAGAAATTTGGGAAACCAAGCTAGGATGAACAAAGAGTTAAATTGCAAAAGAATATGATGTCTCATCATCTCTCTCCTTCAACAAAGATGTATCTCACAGAGAAACCTATAATCAATTAAGCAAATATTGCAGCGCAAATTTTTAATGATAACTTTTGTTCTGGTGCAGAATTATATATCAATTTCCCGGCCATTAATACATGCCAGCATGCCAATTGTCCCCCTAGACATCTTAAAAGAAAATGTGCATAATCTACTAAAGTCATACAAAACTGAACAAAATAGAGTTAATTGTTTGTAATGTTTTGACAGTTTATTCATTGTATTTTGCTCTCTGTAGACTGTAGCAGCACATTTTGCTGCTTTGATTGTACTCAGGATTATTGGATAAGTAAGATTCACATTTTATCCAAAAAAAAAAACTGAACAAAATAGAACATCAAAACTTGAAACTAAACATACTAAATACTGGCTATTTATTTTTCACAAATAAAATTGAGACGACAATTAACAGCTAGGGTATGTTGATAGCTCAACTTATAAAGAACCATAATTCCCAAAATAAAAGCTCAATTCTCAAACAGAAGGTAGAATAAGATCCTAAATAATTATTAATAAAACAGCTACATTTGTTTTGATCGTAAACAATCCTACCTAATCTAGATACTAAAGAATCTCATTGTTCAATAAAGTACTACTTCATCCACAAAAATTCACCCTTGTTTCATTTTATTTCTATTTCCCAATTCCCATCATCAATCTAGCTATAGAAACATTCATGCTAGTTCAACTTGTAAACCAATTGCACCAAAAAGTCAAAGGTAGTAGCTAAACCAGCTAACACAAAGGCTTAAGTTAAGATGCAAACCCCTAGACCAACTAAATAAAGGGTCAAGAAATTTAATAAATGGTTTTAATTTTTACACTAAGCAATGATTATTTGTTTTATCAGTCAGAAAAGCTCATCAAGATGCCTCAACAGAACATATAGCAGTGATTCCCTAGTCCCCATGATTCTATAAAGTCATCAACTAAATACTAAAAATTTCTCCTAGCGCAAAGCATCAAAACCATCCCTTTATATTACTTTATCACTTTCTACCAAAGAACCAAATTACTTTCTCCGCATTGTCCACTTTTAACATTGATTATTCTAGAAGTAGAAAACCCAAGTTGTCCACTTTTAACATTTTAAGCACAATTCCATACATACTCCCCAACATGTCCATCAATCACAAAGTTGATCTTTTTCAGAGTTCCCAGGAGATCTTATGCTCTAAATCTCATAGAAGCAAAGAGTATCACTAAGCCAACAAAATCCAAATTTTCAACAGAGAACCAAATAAACCCAATTCCCAAGTTTCTCTCATTCAAACAGAGTTTTAGAGATTTCCAATTTCGTAAGAAAACCGAAGCAATAAAAGGGGTATCAAATTCTTTCAAAATAAGCAAAAGGGACACACTTTAAACAAACAAAACAATAAAAAGGGTATCAAATTCTTGCAAAATACATACAAACAAAGCACAAAATAGATCAGAAAAAACAAGTATTAATTCAAAACAAGCATACCGTAGCCGAATATGGATCCCATGAAGGCACCAGCGACGGAGTCTCCAGCACACTGCAGGAGGCAAACGCCACCGGACTTAAATGGAGATGGGATTATAGCTTTTGAAGAATTGGAATTCGGGTTAGGATTCGTTTCGACATCAGAATCGGCATTTGGAGAATCCAAAGTACCCATTGTTTAGCCAAAACAAAAGAGAAAATCTTTCCCGTGAAAAAAGATTTCTATGGACAACGCCGCAAAGGGAAACAGAGTATAGAGGGGACCCTATAAAAATGGTGCCGACTGAAGAAGATAACCTGCTCGAGGCCAAAAATAAATACAACTACTACAACTATTGTTTATCTTTTAACGACGTCGTGTTATTTTTTTTTTCCCAAAATCTGTGTTTTTTAACCAAAGATGATAAATAATTGGTTAAAGTCTAAATTTGATCATCTACTTAGATAAAAAGAAAATTTTTGTAGTCTCTTTATTTAAAAAAATTCTTTTTTAATTTTTAAAATTTGAAATTTGATCTTTTTATAGTTTTTCAATTAAGTATTTATAATGTAATATGTCATTTTAACAAAAATTTCAAAATAAAGGGGTTAAAAAAGAATATTTTTTAAAGTAAAAGGATAAAAAAATTTTTTTATCAAAATAAAAAGATCAAAAAGAAAATTTTATCAAAGTAAAGGGACACAAAAAATTACTTTTAGCCTCTTTTATTCTTCTACTTTGAAATTCCATCATCAAATATATCACATATATAAAATTCAATGAATGAACTAAAAAATGATCCAATTTTAAAGTTTAGGATTAAAAAAGAGCTCTTTTTAAATAGATGGACTAAAAATAAAGGTATTTTCAAAATAAAAGAATCAAAATAGGGATTTTACCTAAATGGTTTAATGTTTCTTTCACCATTTTCCTTTTTAACGCATGGAATGCATGGTATTGTTTATTAAAAAGGGAGAA